GAGAAGCCTCCTGTATATTGGGTCATTGATTCTATAGAGATAGATCGAAGTGGATAATTGAATTATCCCAGGCTGCTTACATTGACAAAATTGTCAAAAGRTACAGCATGGARAACTCCAAGAAAGGAAACGTTCCTTTCAGGCACGGAGTCACTCTCTCCAAGAAAATGTCTCCCAAGACTTTTGAGGAGATTGAGGGCATGAAAGACGTTCCCTATGCCTTAGCCATTGGGAGCATCATGTATGCCATGTTGTGCACTCGCCCTGACATTGCTCAGGCAGTGAGTGTGGTAAGCAGGTTCTAGGCCAACCCAGGGTAGGAGCATTGGACTGCTGTGAAGAACATACTCAAATACCTTCGAAGGACAAAAGAATTTTGTTTGGTATTCGATGGTAGTTCACTAAAAATTCTGGGGTATAATGATGCCGATTTCCAGTTGGATGCAGATGATAGAAAGTCTACATCTGGGTATGTTTTCACGATAGGATTGTGTGCAATTTGCTGGAAAAGTAGCAAACGGGGGTCCACGACAGACTCCACGACCGAAGCCGAGTACATTACCGCAAGTGAAGATACCAAGGAAGCCGTGTGGATGAAAAATTCATTCACGAATTAGGAGTGATTCCGTCAAGCACATCACCCATCCTGTTGTTGTGTGACAACAATGGAGCGATCGCCTAGGCTAAGGAGCCTCGAGCCCACTCGAAGTCAAAGCACATCGAGAGGAAGTACCATGTACTGCGGGAGATTGTTGGTAGAGGGGACGTCTTGATTCAAAGGGTAGCATCAGCAGATAATGTGGCAGACCCATTGACTAAGCCACTCTCACAGAAAGTGTTTGAGAAACACGTGGAAAGCATGGGACTCCGACTTGTACCAAATTGGACCTAAGTGCAAGTGGGAGCTGTTAGACAATTTTGTATAACCTTAGCTCCAATAAGTTTTGATGTACTTTTGACATTTAGTGTAAATGAATAAAGTGCATGTTTGATTCATGTTGTGTGGTATGTTTCTGTGTAAGACCCTTAAACTAGACACTTAATGAAACTCGTGTTAGTTTAGAATGTTCACAGCCGTTGGATAAGTCTGGGGAGATTTGTCCTTCCAAGGGTGACACTGGTGTGCTGCAAAGTGTTGGGGTGGCCTGTCTCAGCTGCCAGGGTGATACCGAAAACACATGCAGTGTAGGATTGCTTGAATCTTTGAATCGGACCCGATTTCTAGTATTGCCCTGGACCTTGGAGATTGATGGGCAAGACTGGAAAGTTACACCTGACCCCTAGACTCGATTATGATACTGCACTGGGTGTCAGATTGGGCTGTCTTTGATATGCCAATCAGTGAGATCCTTAGCGAGGGTCAAAACCTGGGTATGTTGGGACAGTCTGAGAATTCATCTAATTGGATAATCATAGTGACAGGATCAGCCCCTTTGTCGGACAAAGGTAATGATGATCAGGGATGCACTCTCTCTGATGGAAACCAAACTGCCGGTAGTTGATTTCAATCGTTGGAATTTTGTTTTGCAAAATTTATATATATGATATATAGATATGTACGGTTTCAAAATGTTTGCAAATGGTTTTAATTCTCGGGATCCATGTGAGCAGAGAGTGCAACACTATTCCTTGCAGCTGAGGGAGATGTCCTCTCTTGTCGGGCAGTGTTTGATCATTATGGGCTGAGAGGTTGAGTGTAAGGCCATTTAGGGTTTTACCTGATGGGCTAATCTTGCATTTGCCCACAGTCCCTGGGTTTTTATAAGATGGCTTAACCCTGGGACCACTTAGTGTAAGTGTTGGGCCCATAGAGTCTATGTGATGGGCTCAAGGGGTTCACTGGGTTTTCTAGTGACTAGGCCTTGTAACAGAGGTTGGGCCGAACCCATGTGGCTGATGTGTAGATCAATGCTTGGGTCCCACGCCATACAAAGAAGCCCAACTGGGTAGTAGTTTGGAAGCCTATTGAGCACTTAATATATATTTGACCTAAAGCCCAGTTCGAACTGTGCTGATTTGATCAGTCACTTAAAGGGGCAGATTTGAGATTAGGTCAAGCCAAAAAGGATTGGGTTTTGACCCTATCCACTCATAGAGACCAAATTCAAATTAGGATTTGAATCTGGTAATCTCCTGATAAGATCGGGAGTGGGCTGATCTAATATGCAGATAAGATTAAGAAGATTCCTTATCCAAATACAGATTTGGATTAGGATAACTCCTAATAAGATTAGGAGGTTTTTAATCACAAAAGAAAGGAGGAGAAAACCTAAGTCGAATTACAAGAATTCGAACCTCAGGGGATTTTTGCAGATAACACTGCGACTTGAGATAGGATCTCAGAAACCCTAGAGAAGAGGAAAAAGCAGTCCGCCATCTTCTTCTCTAGCCTTCTCCTCCAATAGCCGCCACCATCTAACTGCCAGTTCGAGTTCTCTGTAAAGGAAGATCAAGAAAAGTTCTTGATTTTGTGTGGTGCTCTTTGCTTCCATCGAGTTCTTCAAAAGAACCTGGTTCGTGGGACGAACACTGCTGGTTTTGCTCCATCATCGATGTGTCATCTTCAGTGGGAGCAGTTCTTGGGATTTTCTTTGGACGTGAACACCAACGTTGGGAGATATTGCTTCTCTGGATCAGGTATATCTCTTCCCTTCTCTTGTGGTTCAGATCTGATTCGGTTTTGAATCAAGTTAGAACCTTGAATATTGTATTCTAAATCGAGGAAATATGATTCACAGTTGGAAGAGTGGCAATAAATTTTTGAAATTCACCCACCCATTCTGCAACCTTTTGGCGTCCATATGATGGATCTTACCATTGAAAGAATGGTTTCTTGAATATACTAACAGGGTAGTGGGTGGGCGAATTTCAACTACAAGGGTCACACACTCCACTTCAGCGGTAGTGGGGCATAAATCCATAAAATAGGTTAGTCAAGAAACCACAGGGACTTGAGTCATTGAAGAATTATGAGCTTTAGTGATTGCTTATATCATATTGGTGTTGTATGGACATAGACTAGGGAATCAGAATCTGATGCATTGCAGGACAAACTTGGCGAGACGCAGAAACAAGGACTTAAACATCCTATAAGAGTATGTACCATTACAAGTTGATTTTTAATGTTATGAACCTATAGAAAAAGGCCTAAAAGATCATCTTTTTATTTACATTTTATTGGAAAAATCACATTTATTGTCTATATTAGCTATTCATTTACATCGAATAAAGAAAGGAGAGAAATATCACGTAGAGTTATCCTTCAAGCATCCATGAAGTGTCAGTCCGATGTGTGTCCAAAACAGACACCATCTATTTAGGAGAATCCATGTAATAGACTGCCAGTATAGGGGGAGGGGTGCAAACAACTTTCCAAGTGACAAAACTAGTTCTCTCAAAAGCAAAGGTTGAAAATTACCGAGGAATCGACACAAAAGGATAAGTGTGCCAAGAAAAAACTGAGTCCATGAAAAACCCAAATGAGGTGATTGTTCATCAATGTCCAACAAAAAGTGATTCTTACAAGTATAAAACATTTACACTATGACAGTCGGTGTAGATGACATGTAAAGCCACAAAACCAATTTATCCATACAAAAAATCCAAACATTAGGAAACGGCTCTGTAGCATAACCTTCAATCACAAGGCCTCAGATAAATAAACTACCCAGTCATTCCAGTCGCCTTCAAGGTAGTTGGTGAAATCATCATAATCATAATAATCCGAACCAAAATCACAATATTCATTCATAACTTCATACTTAAAGTTCTTGATATGAGAAGCTTGTTTCAGTATCTCATCATCAATCTTAAGTTGGATGCATTTTCTCACTGCAAGGACATCCAGCTCTTTGCAGCCTTCCAATATCTTTAGCAAGTTTTTCTTGGATAGAGTAACACCAATGTCTAATATGCCAAAAACCCCACTCAAATCCAACGTCCTGAGCTTAGGGAGCCAGGTAACAATTGCTGAAACCACTTCGTCATCAATAGTACCAGCATTTACACTAATACCAATGAAATTCTTACGGTGTCGGCCTATTTCCTCAATGATTTTCGGGAATGGGAAACCTCCTTGTAAATATTCCAGATGAAGATGTTCCAAGTTCTTCCATTTATGCACAAGGCTTGGGATTTTGTCAGCTATATCTTTGGGTATGCTTGGGGAAGGAAAAGCAAGGAATTCCAAAGCTGGGCACCTGTAAGAAGTTTGAAGACAATTAAACAAGATTTGATAGGTATAAATTTCTACATAGTGACTTGCTAGAATGTAAGCTGAAGCAGATTTTCTAGAAGGCATGTTGTAGCAGATCCAGCCACCAATACCAGTCAATATACAGATGAAGTCCAGTTGCAAGCCTAGAAGTCATACTAGACTTACTTATCTGAGATGTAAGCCAACTCATTGTATGCAATTGTATCAGGAAGTATGACTTTGACAGAAGATCCATTACTAAGTTTTAGTAAGAAATTCAGAAGACCCATTGATGAGAACTTTTTAACTCCGAAATCTGTAGGCGAGCATAACCATTGGCTCAAAATGTTGAAAATCTAAATCTTTCCAACAACTGGGTTGTCGAGAAGCTTGATACCAAGACTTGCAGACCAATGACAGGGAAAATACTATATCATCCATGTCCACTCTCTCAAAAATGTTGACCAAACAATCCATTTCTAATAACTCCCACTTGCTTGTCTTCTCCATCTCCACACCCTCACTTTAATAAATCTCGAAGTGTTAAGGTAGAAAATGCAAGTGTTGCGGCGCACAACCTGAACTTCCAAGAAAAAAAATGCTATTACCAGGACAAGTATTATATCTGAACTAAGCATGGCCATCAAAGGAATGGGCAGAATGCTTCAATCAAAAGATGAATCAGCAACACATGATAGTAAGTAATTACTGAAATTAATTTCTTAACTGATAGCGTAATCTATCTTTCATATAATATAATATATTACATCCCCTCATGTACACCCCTCTCTTTCTCTTTAATATAATAATCAAAGTTCAAATTATCAAATACGATACGCCCCGTATTGGGCGTATCATATCGTATGTGTTTCAGGACCCACTCTTTTTTAATAAAAAACTAGTGAATGACCCCATACTAAGTACGGGGAATCAGTAATGTTAAATTTGCATTAATGGAATCAATACTGTTAAATTTATATTTATTAATATTTTAAATAAGTATTAAAATTTCAGAAAATAGCTTTTCAATAATTATTAGAATATGGATAATTTTCTTTTGTTATGATACGTAGAGGGTTAATGATTAAGTGAGATTGATAGAATGTAGGCAGAAGTGGTTGTGGATAATCACTTTTGCATTTTTTTTAGGAATAGATTGAAAATGGTGGTAGTGGGTTGTGGGCTTTAGCAACAACTTTTCAGAAAATGCCATGTGTCTAGCTTTCCAGAAAAATGAGAAGGCCATGTGTCTGAATGGTGGGGAGCCGTAGCCTGGTAGTGGGTTGTGGATTTTAGCAGGAATTTCTCAGAAATTGTCATGTGTCTAACCTTCTAGAAAATGAAAAGGCCACTTGTTTGAATGGTAGTAGTGGGCTTTAACAGCAACTTAATATATAGTCACTTTTTCTTAAAAAAAAAAAAAAAAAAACTAATGGTGTGATCTATTAGAGGTATTATCAGGAAGAAAAAAAAGGAATTCATCCTAATTTACTCTTGCTTGCTGAATATCCAGTCTCCAAAATACTAAACCAACAGAGGAAAAGGTAGGTAGCCACGCAACATGGAATTTACGGGCAAATAAATGCCCATTTTTGCTTAAGAGCAGCACAGTGGGAGAGGGGACCATGTGATCAGCCAGGTATTTTGGAAATAATCTGGTTAGCAGGAATACCACTTGCAGGTATCAAATTTGGTTAGCAGGAAAAAATTCCTTTATTTTTTTTCAAATCTATAATTCTGTTTCTGCAGAAATGTGGGCATTGGAACACAATATCCTGCATCCGCATTCTTTGAGATCAAAGATGAGATCCCTTTACTTTTATCTTTCCCCAAAAAAAAAAAAAAGAAAAGAAAGAAATTTCTTTATATTGAAGGAGATAGCTACACCCATTTTTTTAATCTAACAAGACCAATTAGGGTTCAGGTAAGGGCAATTATTTTGTAGGCAACCCAAACAGCTGATGGTATCGTCAAAGCTCCTTGGGTTGCTGTCGGAAATTGTTTTAACAATGCTACTGTCTTTTTCAACGGGTGTAAGCTCCTAGGGGAAGTTAATGCTACATCAATTACTCTAGTTCTTAAGGGGCCTAACTAGAAAACCTCTGTGGTGGATTTCTGACCGCAGCATGATCTATGATCTATAGGCATACATATATATGGGCAAGGTTCTAGTAATAGATTGAAGATACCTATGAAATGGCATGAGAGCATGAACCAAGCTATTTTTATTCAATTATTCTAGGAAGGAAGATTCGTGAAAACATGTTTCTTTATCATGATTTATTCCACAACTACAACATATTCACTGTATTAAACATTACAGAGTACACCTGCTGAGAATATTAAGAAACAAAGTGAATATAGAAAAGGGGGTGGGCTTTTTACAGTAGAAACAAGACAGACACCGACACTGGGGGAGAGGAAATATAAAGGGGCTAGCCGCATTTGCCGTAGAGAGATGAGAAAAAGAAGAAAAACAGGTAAAGCAGAACCCAGTTCAGAGAGAGAATGAGAATAGGAAGAAATTGAACGGGATGGAGCCACACTCGAAAGTTGAAATAGGAACACGCCAATAGGAAGAAAAGGAAAGAAGGAAAGAGGGGAAGTCGCCTCTGTTTTCGCTCACAGTGACAACTGACAAGCGAAGAAGAAGAAGAAGAGTAGCAGAAACAAAGAAAATAAAAATAAAAGTAAAAGTGAAAATGAAAATAATAAGATAATAGATACCTGACTGGACTCGATCGTCAATTTCTCCTTCCTATTCCGATTGCAAAATCGTCAGTGAGATATTTGAAAATTGAAGAATTTTCAGTGAAAACCTTTCCCCTCTGATACTTTTATTCTGTCGATTAGCGAGAAAAAGGTCATTTACAAAAGCTAGCTACATTTTACCCTATAGTTTGCAATTCGATCCGTCAATCGTATCGTGTCAACCTCAGGTGTGGACATTTTCGGGCCATTTCGGCTTGGGTAAAGAAAGGCTAGACCCTAACCTTAAACATTCAGGTTTGAATTGATCAATTAGTCAGATGAATCAACGGTTCAATCATTTGTGTCAATTGATTTTTAATCTTGTCAATATTTTTAACAAAATGACAGGTTTAATAATCTGATGCAAATATTTGAACGGTTCAACCATCTGTGTCAAATGTTAGGTATGAAAATAAGTGACTTAGCAGCGACTCTTGACCCGACTCGACCCAATCTAAATTCGCAAATTGGGTCAAATTTTTGTCGGATCTATTTGCTACCACTTTACTTAATCGATATTTTTTAGGGTAGTTTATATTGCCATATGGAAATAGTCGCATAACCCTAAACTGAGTGGAAAACGTTAAGGGCATAAGCCCATGGTTATTTATTCCAATAGTGCCCTTATACTTTATATTAAAACTTTTAAAAAGAAAGGGTCATTTATTAAAACACACCTTATAGTTTCTTAAATTTACTAAAATCTATTATATAGTTTGTGTTTTACTAAAACATATTCTATAGTTTATAACCAATTTACTTAATCGACCTTCTATTAGATGAAAGTGGAAAATAACATTTTTAAACTTAACATCTATTCAAACAAATTTAATAAAAAGAAATTAAAAGCAAAAATAATATTTTTGCCCCTAATAAAAGAGGGACAACCACTCTATTTTTTTTCTATTAGGTTAATTTTGTTTTCTATACAAAAAAGTGTTGGGGTATTTTTGGAATAAAATATTTAGATCCATACCCTTGAACATTTTCTACTCAGTTTAGGGGTATTTTTGAAGTAAAGAACCTTGGGTCCATGCCCTTGAACATTTTCCACTTAGTATATGTTTGGCATCGATGCTTCAAATACAACATTGTTTTCCTACAAACTCTAACAACTTTAAGATCAAGAGAGAAGAAAGAAGGGAAAAGCTTTTTAGTTCTCTATAACACACTTGGATTCAAACTCTCCAAAGAAGATCAAGCCACTCCAAAAGGGCCCTTCTTAAAGAAGCATCTTTTACAACTGATCAAGCGTGAAGCCTGGAATGAAGAAATCTAGATTAACTCTTCAGAAACACCAAATTTAAGGAAATCTACATCAACACTTCAAGAAGTACGAGAAACACACCAACGACCCTCATCTTCACCGAATTTGACCGTTAATCAAAAGTTGCTCACATCATTGAGTAGAGATCAAGGAGAGTTCATTCCCATGTATTTTCTTTTATTACAATTTTTTTTTTTGTAATTTGTCTCCATATTTTGTGTTCATTAAATACATGAAATTTGTGTCGACACACTTCTTAAAAATAATTAATATAGTCTTAAAGTTATTTAGATGTTCAGACTTCAGTGCAACCAAACAGGCTCATAGTAAATCATGTGTCATCGTGGAGAACATTGGATAATTTTTTCTCTGTTCTTTCTACCAGGCTAAAATACTAAAATTATGTAATTACTCAGAGATGAGGAAATTTGTTAAATTAGCTTGTAAATAAAAATGAAATTTGGTAAATAAGCTTGTTGGTGAAGTGGCATCTGATTGTTTCCTTTTATGTATCAATGACCAAACTTTATCTATTCCACTATTAGCTAATGGTTCCATTAATGGAGTATGTACAGGTTCTCCTATGTCCTAATGTTTGTGATTCATATATATTATACATTTCAAATAATAAGTTTTAATTTTATCTTTTCTTTTGTGTTCGAATATCAATTCCCATATTCAAGTAAAACATTTACACCATCTTTTTTTAATCATAGGATCTAATTTTGTAGCTAAACAATATATTCGAGAAAATATTTTTCTAATATTTTTTAAATTTAATTTCCATTGCATCAACAATATTTTTAAATATTAAATCATTTCTGTATTTTACAAAATATTCATTAATTATATACAATTCATTAACTAAAATACAAGATGTTGGGTAATAAATACTTGAAAATAAATTAATTATATCATAAAAAAGTTGTAAAAATCTTTTATATAGGTTGAATCTTTTCAATAATCATAATCAGTTATAAAATCAAGGGACATTTTCTCATTATGAAAATTAGTAAAAATGTCTTTATATGAAATACAACGATGTTATATGGTTTATATAGAATTCCACCAATGTTGAACATCTAATACAAACTTTTTATATTTTTTTTCCCACATTTATGGAATAAATATTTAAATTCTTCTTTTCTTATTCTAGAAGTTATAATTTGCATAATACAATTTCTAAATTTAGAAATATGAGGTAAAATAATATTTGATGTTTCTTGTACACATAAATTTAAAATGTGGCATGCACATCTAATATGAAATAATTTTCTATTTAAAAATTATTTTCATTAATATTTTAAAATATTTATAGCTAAATCATTATGGCTAGCACGATAAAAACCAATAGAAAGAACTTTATCTTCAATACCATAAATATATAAAGTATTTAAAATATTTGCAACCAATATGTAGCCATGATTCACCAACAAAATGCCCTATAACACAAATTTAACTAATAGTTTATTTGGAAACCCAAATATTATATGTAAGTGAAATTTTAGAATTAATATTTGACAAGGTAGAAATTAAATTTTGATTATATGAATCAAAAGTTTTTAAAGCATGTGCTTTATTTCTAGAAACCTTTTTAAATTGGATTTACAGAGATTGTTGTAAAATTTTTTCAAGCCTAGAGTCTTTAGATGATAAAAATGATTGTTCAACATGTATAAATTTTGTTAATTCTTGCCTCATTTCTTCTTGTGAATATTAAATTACCAAAAAGACCACATCCAATTTGTGTTTGATTTTATTGTTTTTCCTCAAATGATTGGCCCTGTGTCTAACTAAATGGCTAGTGCCACCTTTGATACTATAACTAAATTCACTTCTACATTTTATGCAAATATATCTTTTCCTTTTTTTCCAATATTTTCTATATTTAACATGTTCCAAACTCCATTGGTCTTTCTCTTGCCATCTCTTGAACTAATAGTAGGAGTGGCTTTATCAACAACAATACCATTGACACTCATAGTCGGTGCTATTGAAAGGGATTTTGAGAGGAATTTGACCATTTAAAAAAATTTAAAATATTAAAATCCTAAACAATAAAAACTAATTAGCACTTATTGATCCGTTGGTTTGGAATTCCAACATGATTTTAACTGAAAAACTTTTAAGCCTCCCAAATTGCTAATTTGAGACACTTGAACAAGTCTTCTCATTGATATTTGAATAAAGTTGAAAAGTAAATACTAGGAAGAAGCAAGAGACAAAGAAAGTATGAGATAATATGTGAGTATATAAAAGTATGAGAAAGACAAGGGTTGAGCCAGGCCTGGCACAACCTGATTGTTATAATGACCAAGCCATGCTTGGCACGGCCTGTGGGCAGTTTGCGGGCCCCAAAACCCAAGCCTGACATAGCACAAGGATTTGGACCGGGCCTGACACAATCAGATTGCTACAATGATCTTGTTGTGCCAAGTACAGCCCATGAGCGACTACTTCTATATGACAACGAATAAGAAAATGAGACTGGATCTTTTCCTCACATAGGGCACCTCACACGTACATCCTATCATGCATTGGAAACATCTTCCGTACTTATAAGTAATTATTCATGGGAGATGTTCCCAATGCATGGTGGATGTGCATGTGAGGCACCGAAGTGTGAGGAGCAGATCCCGTTCCTAAGAAAACCAAGAGTTGCATAATAACTAGCATGCAAAAACCTCTCTCCAGCCTTCATCTTTGTTTCAAAAACTTCCCTTTACGAAACAACCCTCTGGATTTCCCTCGTTAATATGGGTTTAGGAGTTTTTTAGTGAATGATCACAGCCAAGCCCATTTGTTTCTGCATTGAGCTTCAAAGAAAACATTATGTGGAAAGGCCCAAATTTGCAAGGTGACGATGCTTTTGAACAATATTTTAGAAACTAGAAACTATTACTCATGTAATTTTCAAGGAAATTCATTGAACTTAGTTCAGACCCTGTTATAGACTGCTTCCGATCTCCAACCCACAAACTCTTCCAACATCTCTACCCATAAGACATTACAGGCCATGGTTTTCGAACCTTCGTTAACTCAGATGGTCGGACTATTTGGTCCAAAAACCATCTAGGCAATCAGTTTGATTTCACCGTTAAGTTATTCCTTAGCCAAAAACTATTGATTTGATTAATAACCCGCTGACCTATGTGATCAAATTGTCAACTTGTCCAACCCGAATAATGTTTTTTGGCTGTTTTTTTTTTATTTCAATTATTATTATTATTATTATTTTTAATTTTTTAAATTGTAATAGAAGATCCATTTGAACCGAACAATTGAACCACTGACCCAAAAACCAATGGCCAAAGCGATTCCGATTCCAGATTAATTTTTAAACATTATGACAGGCATGCATTGGGAATATCTTCCATATCATTTAAGGGGAAATGCTTCCAATATATACATAGCAGTCGTGTATTATCTCAATTGTGTCGAAATTTTCAAGCCGTTTCTTTCTTGTAAACTAGGTTGCCAATTGGTCTATATTAGATAATCCTCCTCGTTGCATTGAATCTATTGTTTAATGGAACGAGACGGGGGTCTATTTTTGACTATATTTTGGCTACTGTGTGAAGCTTTGTTACATGATGGCTTAGGAGCAGAAGCAACCATGCATTGTGTGGAAGGTGAGACAGAGAACTCTTGAGCGTCAGAGAGCTCCAAGGAAGCCATCCTGTTCTGTCCAGTTACCATATCCATTGTTAAATTATGGCTGCTTAAGTGCTTAAATCAATTGTTATTACTTATGTGAAGTCTTTTTTCCTAGTTCCTTTTAACTTGTAATAAATCACTTTTTCCAGCAGGTGCTGTACATGGTCTTATTCGTTATCTTGATGGGTGTTATGGGGATGTGCTACATTGTGTATTTTTTCTGTTTTTCTTTTCTTTTTTTTTTTCTCTGAAAATAGAAATCTATTTTAACAACCAGAAAATGATATTAGTTAAGTCGAAGTAACTTCCAAACACTCCATTATCAATAAATCTACACCTTATCTCAACCACATGGGGTTGACTGGTCGACAAAAATGGGCAACTCGAATGACAAATATTTTTGGATCGGAATGACTGGATATTATTATTAGCTTTGGCATTAAACAAAGAATTGGGAATGCTAGTATCAAGGGTCTGGCTGTAAAGGAGGCCCTTAAACCTTGAACCACACAAGGACAAGCCATACTCCATCCATGTATTTGCATGAAAACCTATATTTATGTTTTGCCCTCTGATTTATTGGCCTTGCTCTAAAGATTTTTACAAAGATTTATAACATTTATTCCAGCAATTCACTTATAACACGTATATAGCTTTATTGAATTCAATAAATCAGTAAGGTTAATTCAAGAAATGTGAAATTTAATATGCAGACAACCATGTTCTTCTACAACACTCCCTTCTCTTGTTTTCTTTCCTTATATTCAGTCCAGTCCCAAGCATCTAAACCAGGAATCCTTGCCCGAGCTCATGGCTCATGCATTTTAAAGCAGAGGTATGACTTTCTAAGGAATCCAATGTAGCAAAGGGGAAATTGCTCTCAGAAGTTGTGGGCCATACTTCGACTTGATAGATAAATGGGGACTAAATAAATAAACTAGGAAAAGAAAGTTTGAAAAAAAAAATAAGAATTATTTAAATGTTCTAACAAAATTATATAATAACTTTAAAATATTTATTGAAAAGACAAAAAATAATTATAATCGATTTAATAATGTTTATATTATTAATAATTATATATTTATACAAAATTCATCACGTAATTATGTACAAACAATATAAATTATGATTTTTTGGATTATTCAATCTAAATTTTATTCAATTAATAAAAATTTAACACTAAAAATGAAATATTATTTAAATATTTTAATAACTAAATATCTTAAATAACAAAATATTAAAATTATTATTTTAAATCAATTAATAATATATTTTAAATAGTTATTGAATAACTTTCAATTATAATAAATAGATTAAGATTTTAAATATTTAGTTAAATAACTAAATATTTTAGATAACAAAATATTTAACAAGTAATTCAATAAATAATGACATTAATATTTAACAAGTAATATTTTAAATAACTAAATATTAAATTCAACAAGTAATTAATATTTTAAAATTTATATAATGATACCATTTCAATAAATAATATTGTAAATAACTAATTTCATTTATACCAATTAATAATTATAGAAAATAACTTTCAAAAAATTATTGTTTATTAATAATAATCTTAAATACTTAATCTTTATTTATTATATATTTATCTATACTAAAATTAATATTTATTGTATTTCAGTAATTATTTATTTCTTTTGTGATAAATATATTTTCAATAATTATGTATAAATATATTTTTGTTTTTTTATTTAATAGAAAATTTTCAATAATTATTGGAGTTTAAATTGTTGTTATTTAGCTTTTTAAATTTAATTTATTGTGTATTTTCGCTATAAAGTTTTAATAATTATTGGAGATTAAACTATTGTTCATGGGTTGATTCGGTTCAGTTGTAGGTTGTTTGGCCAACCAAATCGACCTAGTCAGGTTGGGGGTTGGTCACTCAGGTTATCAGTTTGGGTAAATTTTCGGTTTGGTCAGTTGGTTCAAAAGATTTAAACTTAAAAATTAAATTTTAAAAAAATTACAATGGCATTATTAAAAAATAAATTTATGTTATGAACTATTTTAGCCTAAGAAATATTGGAATTTTCCCATTTTTCTATATATTTAAAATATAAAATATTAATATATATCTATGGTTTGGCCGTTTAATTTTAGTCAGTTTACAAATAGCCAAAGTGAAACTGATCCAACCCATTCAGGTTGGGAAATTGTTGAACCAAAGTCAACTAGAAATACTAGAAATCGGGTTGGTCACGGGGTGGGGAGGGGACGAGGAGCCTCTACCCATCCCCGTCCCCATCCCCGTCCTTGATAATGGGGACAAAGTTATCCCCATCCCTGTCTCCTCGGGGATCCCCATTCCCCGTGATTCTTTATAATGTTAACCATTACCTTTTCATTTTTTATTTTATTTAAAAAATAAAATAAAATAATTAAAATTTATAATCCTATTAGAAAAGATTCAAACATGTTCAACCATATTTTTTAAAATATTAACATATAGATGTATGTGTACATATATACATATATAAACGTATGCGTATATATACATATATATTAGCGGAGATCCCACGGGGCAGGGCTTGGGGTCCATGCGGTATGGGAGTGCTCTCTCCATCCCCGCCCCATTCAGGGAAAATCCCCATAGGGATCAGAGAAATGGGGAAAATTGCCATCCCTAAATTTGATAAACCCTATCTAAAATTAATTATTGTTATTTTTGTATTGTAAAAAAATAGTAAAAGTAGTATATAAAATGTAAATGATTACTAATTATTATATAAAACAATTGTATACTCTTACATGTTTCTATTGTTTATCTTTAACTTAACAAATCTCGTGCATAGGTCCCCGCTAGTAATTTTATCTTTAACTTAATGACTCAATTTAAGAGTAAAATTAATTGAAAATATGTATGAACTTCATTTACAAATTTACGTATATACATTTTATACATATACACATGTATATATACTTAAAAGATATATTTTTAAATAAATATAATAAATATGTATATGTATGTTTGTATGGGCAGGTTTGGGTTGGGTTGGACTAGGCTCATGTCATGATTGGGTTAGCAGAGCCTCAACCCAAGCCCAACCCAATCCAAGCCCGGATTTTCTGGCCCAAGCACACCCCACAACTTGAAAACTGGCCCAACCCATGCAAAAGCTTGTGTTAGGCTCGAGTTGTGCCCAATGTTTTGAAAGGCAAAGGCATAGTTGAGGCATAATGGTCCAAAAAGGTGAGGAGTAACTGTCAAGGTGTTACAAGGCACAAGCCTCAAAGTTTAAGAAAAAAATTAATTAAAGTTTATAAATTGATGAAAATAACATATAATTTACTAAATTAAAATGATAATTAATCAACTAACAATTATAAACATTTTATTTCATGTAAAAAATAATTTAGAAGAAAGGAAACAACTTAATTGATTTGATCTATGTAAATAACAAACTTGGGACATTACATTTAGAATAATAAAAAAAAATCTCACTTGATTTATTCAAAAGAAACTAAGAACTTGATTAGTCCTTTTTGTAATGAATTATCTTAAATACTAAGAAAAAACTAACATAATTTGATTTGTCTTGTTAGTTTTCCATTTTTACTGTTTTTTTTTTATTTGGTCCATAATTATTGAAGTGTTTTTCCTATATGTAGGGATGCAACTTGGGTGGGACCAACCCGATCCCAGACCGGCTCAGACCAAAAATTTACATGGCCCGGGCTTAGTTTTTCAGTCCTTGGGCCCAGGCCCAAAAAATCGGGTTTTTAAAAATTTCGTGTTGGGCTCGGGCTAGACCATTTGCGAACCTGAGCCCGGACCGATATCTACCCATGCGCAAGAAACCCGGGCCCGGCCCGATGTCTAAGGCTGTAAGGCCCTTAGAAAAATACGTTTGAGAGTTGAGATTGAAAAAGCAAAAAGGTGGAAAAGAGTCGAAAGACTGAAAGTGTGAAACTGTGAATACCTTTCAATAGCCGATCCCTCTTTCTAACCTTTCAATCGTCATTAGTCAATACTCAATACCTGACGTGTTCGAGTGTTCATTCAAGTCATTTGTGAAAGACTAAAGTGTGAATCTTTTGGTTTTCTGCTGATTACTGACAACTGAAAACTGAGCAAGTCAGAGCCAGGTATGGTTTCTAATATCTACCACGGTACACCTACTTTTCTTTATTCTTTTTTTTTTGTTTATGGATTAAATTTCCTGGTTTTACTTTTCAGTTTTCAGTTTTTCTTCTTTATTGGATAGTTTGTCTTCTTATCAATTTATGGCGTTTCCCAAATCCCAACCCACGACAGCCCTAATTCTGGCTTAACCATATTTCTCTGTACCGGCTTTCTTAGAAACAATGGAAACCAGTTTGGTCTGAAAAGCTATGTCTAAGGAGTAGGGTGTCAACCTCCTTTTGTCATTCTTTCTCCCCCTCATAATATTTTCCTTCTCCACATCTGATGCAACTCCATGGGTAGAACGTCTATCGGGTTTTTGACTTTTTACTTACTTGACCTTACTTGACCACTAAATTAATTAAATAAAACAAGATTTTCCCTCTTGGCTTGGATTTTGGGTCGTAGAATGGGCTTAAGCCCATAGCCTAGGCTTTTAAATTAGGGATGAAACTTGGGCAGGTCCAACCCAACCTAACCCAACCTGAGCCCGAGCCCAGACCGAGTGTGTAAAATTTAATCTCAGGCTGGGCTCGAGCCTGATCATTTGGTTTTTACTTCAGGCTCGCTCTGGGTCGGTCCCTACTTATAGTTGATAGGGTTGGGCCTGAGTTTATCTTAAGCCCGAACCAACCCACTCGACTCTATAAAAATACATATATTTTACATTAAATTATTAATTAATCATTGATATTTGAGACTTACACCTCATTCTGATAAAGGTTTAAGCCTCACATCAAAATCTGACAAAGTTGTGACAAAATTATGACAAGTTGTGAGGTTTAAGCCTTGAGGCAAAATCTGTGCACCTTGCCTCAAGGTGTACACCTCATGCCTCAAGGCTTAAGCCTTTTAAAACAGTGGTTGTACCAGCCCAATGGAATACTGTATCTTAGGGCCTTAGGCAGGGACAGACTACCAGTCAAGGGGAAAGGGTACACATAACTTACCAGTGACAAATCTCTAGTTCTATCATGAGCGAAGGCCAGAAATTAACTTCAGAGTACATTTTACCAAGCGTACAGTACCAACACTGTCATGTGCATGGAAAAAAGAAGAAAGAATAATTAGGGGAAATATAATAGGAGAATAAGAAAAAGTATCACAAAACGAACACAGAAATGAAAGTCCAAGAAAAAACTGAGTCCATACAATCCAAAGTGCATGAAAATCCGAGATGAAGTGATAACACTATCATGGCCAGAGCCAGTGTAGATGACATGTAAATGCCACACAACCAATTTAGCTATGCAAAAATCCAAACGTTAGGAAACAGCCCTGTAGCATAATCTTCAATCACATGTCCTCAGGCAAATAGGTTACCCAGTCATCCCAGTCATCTTCAAGGTAGTTGGTGAAATCATCATAATCATAGTAGCCATCATAACCATAATAATCCAAACCAAAATCATAATAATCATCCGAGTAAAAATCACTAAAGTCATCCAAAACTTCATACTTAAAGTTCTTGATATAGGAAGCTTGCTTCAGTACCTCATCATCAATCTTAAGTTGGCTACATTCTCTCACTGCAAGGACATCCAGCTCTTTGCAGCCTTCCAATATCTTTAGCAAGTTTTTCTTGGGTAGATAAACACCAATGTTTAATACCTCAAAAATCCCACTCAAATCTAAGGTCCTGAGCTTTGGGAGCCAGGTAACAATAACGGAAACCATTTCGTCACCAATAGGACCACCATTTACACTAATACCAGTGAAGTTCTTGCAGTGTCGGCCTATTTCCTCAATGATTTTAGGGAGTGGAAGACCATGAGATATATATTCCAGATGAAGATGTTCCAAGTTCTTCCATTTACACACAAGGCTTGGGATGCTGTCAATTGTTTGCTTGGGTATATTTGAGCCAGGAAAAGAAAGGAACTTCAAAGCTGGGCAACTGTAAGCATTTTGAATACGATCAAACATGAACAGATAGGTATAAATTTCTACATATTGACTTGTTATAATTTACAACAGAAGTTGTAGAAGATTTTCTATACAGATGAAACCCAGTTGCAAGACTAGAAGTCATACTATACTTACTTATCTGAGATGTAAACCAACTCATCGTATGCAATTCTATCAGGAAGTATGACATGGACGGAAGATCCATTGCCAAGTTTCACTAAGAGCTTTAGAAGACCCATTGATGAGAACTTTTTAACTCCAAAAGTTGAGACAAATCTGTTGGTAAAGAGAATGCCCATTGACTCAAAAACTTGAAGATCTAAAACTTTCCAACAAGTAGGTTGTCGAGAAGCTTGATACCAAGACTTGCAGACAAAGGGCAGCATCAATAATAGATCAACCATGCCCACTTTCGCAAAAACGCTGACCAAGCAATCCATTTCTAGTAACTCCCACTTTCTTATCTTCTCCATGCCCCACTCTTCTCTTGAATAAGTCTTAAAATGTTCAAGGAGAAATGCAAGTTTTGTGGTGTGAAACCTGAATTTCCATGAAAAAAAGCAATTACCAGGACAAGTATAATATGTGAACTAAGCATGATCATGAAAGGAATGAGCTGAATGCCCCAATCAAAAGATGAATCAGGAACACATGATCAAGCTAATTAAAGGGCAGCCCAGTGCACGGGGACGGGGCTCCCACCAATGCAGGGTTTGGGGAGGGACAGATGTACACAACCTTAGCCCTGCAAATACAGAGGCTGTTTCCAAGATTTGAACCCTGACCACCCAGGTCAAAATGGAGCAATCCAACCATTGCGCCAATGCCAAGGCCCATCCTCGAAGATAGTAATTAATTACCAAAATAAATTTCTTAATTAATAGTATAATCCATTAAGGTATCATCAGAAAAAGAATTGGATTTCATCCCAATTTGTTCTGGCTTGCTGAATACTCTAAAAACTAAAAAGCAGAATAAAATGTAGATAGCCAGGCCAAATGGAATTTACGGGAAAATAAATGATCATTTTCTTAAGAGAGCAGTGGAAGAGGGGAAGATGTGATCAGCCAGTATTCTTGCAACTAAACTAGCTAGTTGAAAAATAAGGTTGGTTTTGTTTTAAATAACAAAAACAACTATCACATTGGCGAAAACAGTATAGTTTTGCTGATTAGGCAATTGTTTCAATTTCTAAAACCAACACCAACCCGTTGTCCAACACACCTTAGTTGTAAGGATAATAAAATTGTTTTTGCTGATGTAGCAATTATTTCAAAAACAAAATCAACGTCATTGGAATACAACATGCTGCGTTCACAGTCTTTGACATCAAAGATGAGACCTGTTTACATTGAAAGACACAACTACACCCATTTTTTAATCTAACAAGACCAATTAGGGTTCAGGTAAGGTAATTATTTTGGCTGAGTTTGGAAGGAGTACAAATGCAAATATGTAGAGTGCAAAACCTTATATTTTGTATTATTTTGTATGTATTTACGCTGTACATATTTGCATTTGTATTGCTTCCAAACTGAGCCTTTATTGGCAACCCAAGTCACTAATAGTATCATTGAGGCTCCTTCGGTAGTTGTGACTGTGAGAAATGATGCTACCAAAGCCATTGTCTTCTTTAACAGGTATAAGCTCATAGAAGAAGTTAACGCAACAGCTATTACTCTAATTCTTAAGGGGCGTAACCAGCAGACAATTGCGGTGCATTTCTAACTGCAGAATGATCTATAGACATAGACGTATATTAGCAAGGTTGTTGTGATAGATTGAAGATACCTTTGAAATGACAATAGAGCAACAACCAGGCTACTTTAGAAGGAAGATTCATGAAAGTATGTTTCTTTATCATGAATTTTTCCACAATTACAACATATTTACTGTATTAAACATAACAGAGTACACCTTATGAGAATATTAAGAAAACACAGTGAACTTACACTAAGGAAAAAATTGAGGAAAAGATGTTAACAAAATTTGTGAAATTCCTTAATAACTTCGGAAGTTTGCATCAACTTTCTGTTTATCTTATTTTCTGTAAAACCAAAAGGCAGCCTAAGGGAAGCAAGAGAGACACAGAAACGGGAGAGGAAAAACAAAGGGGCTAAGCCCTCTTTTCTGATCAGAGATGAGAAGAAGAAGAAGAAGAAGAAGAAGAAGAAGAAGAAGAAGAAGAAGAAAGAAGAAATAGTTGGGGCTGAACCCTGTTCAGAGAGAGAATATGAACAGGAATAAGTTGAAGCGTGTGGTACCACAACACGAAAGTCGAAACAGGAACACGCCAACAGAAAGAAGGGAAAAGGAGAAGATTTTATGTTTTCCAGTCTCACTGTGACAACTGAAAAGTGCAAACCGAAGAAGAAGTGAAGAAGAAGAGTTGCAGAAAATAAAAAAATGAAAATAATAAGATACCTGACTGGACTTGATCGTCGATTTCTTCTTGCTCCGATCACAATTCGCAATCCCCAAGCCCTCTTTTGCGAGTTGCGACGTGTGATTGTGAAAAACTGAAAACCTTCTCTCTGATTTTTAACTTTGACACACGACCACTCTGTACGACGAAGAAAACCAAGAGTCCAAGATCTTCATAACTAATCTGAAAAAACCTCCTTTGTCCTTTCAGCATCTAAAACCTCCCTTTGTGAAATTACGGAATTACCCTTTCCATTTCCTTCGTATGTTTACCTGGGCTGGGAGTTTCTTAGTGAATGAACGAGACCGGGGCCCATTCGTTTCTCTTTTGGGCTTGTAAAAAAAAACCATTGTATGGGAAAGCCCAAATAGTATTCTGGTTTGCGCTGAACTTTTCATGAAGGCTGTATCTATCCACAACAAAAAATTGTTCCAACACTTCCCAACATGATCCGTCTTCCCATATCGTAGACATGTTGAGCCCCCATTCTTATAGTGGGTCCTACCTTCATGGTGCGATGCGTGAATACAGATCATGTTGGTACCGTGTTGGTACAATTTTTGTTATGAGCAAATTCCACTCCCTTGTCATGCACTTTCATTCAGGTCTAATCTCTCTATGATGGAGGACTTAATAAAATACATTATTTATCGTCTTGATGTGTATTTATATTATTCTTGGGAGTTTCCTTATCAAATCATATCTATGTCCTTTTACCATATCTATCCATCCATCTATCTATATCTATACATGTCTAAAATATGTATGCATTTCCAATTTTTTTTATTTTTTAAAAACATGAATTAATTCCATTGATTCTATCACTAAAAACCAGTTTACATGGATACAAAATTATGTTTAATCTGACAGTAAAATGAGAATAATAAACTTAGGTGTTTAAAAGGAATTTAGATTTAGTCCTCACAAAATATGTCATCATACTGTCCTCACAGTCATTGCAATCATACATTAGGAATATCTCCTCATGAATGAAAAGTATAAATACGAATATACTTATAATACACGAGTGCAAGGGCTGTGAATAGGAATGGCAATGGGGCGGGGCGGAGACGGGGAGCCTCTCCCCATCCCTGTCCCCATGGAGATCTCTATCCCCGTGGGGATCCCCATTCCCCGTGATTTTTTATAATGTTAACTATTTTGTTTTTGTTTTCTATTTTATTTAAAAAAATAAAAATAAAATAATTAAAATTTACAATCCTATTAGAAAAGATTCAAACATATTCAACCATATTTTTAAAAATATTAATATATAGATGTATATGTACATATATGCATATATAACGTATGCATATAATATATATAGTGGGGATCCCACAGGGCAGGGATCGGGGTCCCTGCAGGGTGGGGAGTGCTCTCCCCATCCCCGCTAATGGGGATAAAAACTTCCCCACCCCCCATCCCCATGGGGGAAAAATCATCCCCATCCCTGCCCCATTTGGGGTGAATCCCCACGGGGATTGGGGAAATAGGGAAAATTGCCATCCCTGGCTGTGAAGATGGTATGAGGACAGATTTTGCGAGGACTCATGAAATCCCTTCGTATGGAAAACCAGCAAAACCCCCCAGGAGAAGGGAGAAAGAAATGTGGGCCAACTCATCACTCATGTGCTGCCAAGTTGGCATCCCTATAAACATTGTGGACCTAAATAAAAATGAGAGAAAGCTGAAGGAGGGAGAGCTGCAATCCTCAATGAGAGACTGTATGTGCCAAGGGATTGGAATTGACTCTAACAGAGCCGCAGTGATACCTCTTGCGTCTCCTTCCAGTGTAATAGAATGGACTATGAAGGTCCAAAGAATCAGTGTGAAGCTAGCTTTCAAAAAGAGTAGTGGCTTTTGATTCTTCATTCCAGCAACGGTTAATGGATTTAGAAAGCTCAGCAACGATTTCCTTAATTGATAACCACGGATGGTCACAATCAGAAGCTGCACCATCAAACATTTTATACCATCTACTTTGTGATTGATCTCAGTCACGATTCACAGTATTGGAAGTATTGAACCACAAATTTTGACGTATTGATTTTAATAGAAACTCGTGTTTCTTCATTATTTTATTTCTCATCAAGTACTATTTATCAGCCAATATGCGCCCATGTGTTTTGAGATTCTGAACCTTGATCCCAGATGAGCGCAATGCCTAATGGGGAAGGATGCATAGGTTTAAGGTAGCAAGGTTGAGTTATTCTGGAAATTTAGAGTTCAGTCCACAGAAGATAGGCACAGAGGTATGACATATAGATTGCAATACATCGATTGGAAAATGAAATTCTCACAAAATTTGTCCTCACACCTTACTCACTATATTTAGCTATGCATTTGGAACTATCTCCATATTTTTATTTATTTTTTCATTCATGGAAAGATATTCACAATGCCGGGCTGCTAGTGTTGTGAAGACGGTGTGAGGACAATAGATAGATCAAGGTTCAAATTTTCAATATGTGCTGGGCATATCTTATCTAATGGTGGAATAGATTGAGCTTTTCACAAGTTATTCAGGTTTGGATCGTGAAAAACTAACTTAATCAAGCTTCGAGCTGTGTTCAAATCCAATATGTAGACTAATTTGCAAATTGAGCCAAATTCGAACCCAATGATAATTAAGCATAAAGTGATGTTTTTTTTTTAATTTTTTTATATGTATAACAATAAATAATTTTTATAGTTTTTAATTTTTTATATTTTATAAGAAGTTTAGCTCATGGTTGATCTTGAGCTGAACTCAAACATATGAGATTTTAATTTAATCAAAATTCCAGTTGAAATCTCTAGCTTGCATCAAACTCGATCTTGAACTCAAGCTTCATGTTTATCAACTTGGCTTATTTAGAATACACCCTTAATCGTATCCTGTCAAGAGCTTGTCGATACAAGAAATAAAGACCTTCTGGGTTATTTATTTGTTTTGTTTGCCTTTTTAGGATGTAGGCAAGTCCAAGACCAACCCCTTGACTACCTAAAAAAAGCGCTAAAAAAAGTTGTTGCCGATCAAAACGGTGGTTTTAAAATTGTTGTTGACTCGGGCGGTCAAACCGCTGGACCTAAGAACCAACCAACTATCCAGTTTTGATTACTACCTGGACCGAATTTTCTCAAAAATATCAATTGAATTGGTCAACAAACCGGACCCATACTGTTGAACTGTTAAACGATTCAACCTAAATAATGATTCACAGTTTAACAAAAAAATATTTTTTAACAATTAAAATAACAAAAAAAATCAAATATTCTTATCTTAATCCAAAGACATCCCACTTGAGAGAGAGGGAGGCTTAAAAATAACGAGATTTCACTATGTGTGAGAGAGAGATCTTAGATCCCTTATAATCTTACCCTAATCTTCTAGAAAGTAAATTACATCTATATTTAACTGATCAACAGTTTGAATTGTAGGATCCGAAAATCAGTGATCAAAGCGGTTCCATTTTCAAGTTAGTTTTTAAAACCTCAGTGAAAACACTGGATATGCAAGTTTATGCATATTGGGTGTATTGATACTTCGAAACTTGAGATAGATAAATAGGACTTAAATCAATAAATTAAGTGTAGATAAATGGGGCCTAAATCAATAAATTAGGATAATCAACAACCATAGAAAACCATAAGTCATTCAAGAATTGAGTTCTGGTGTTTGCCTATATCTTAGCATTATTATATGGACATGGACCCGGGAATCAGAATTTGATGCATGTCCAGGACAGTCTTGGCTACTTGGCAAGATAGAGAAACAAGTGCCTACACATTCATATAGAAGTATAAACTATTACATATTGAGTTCATTATAAACCTATAGAGAATAGGTCTAAAAGATCATCTTTGTTTGTAACAATTTAGGGGAAAATGTCATTCATTGTATATATTAGTTATTCATTTATGTCTAATAAGCAAGAAAAGAGAAAAATATAACATAAAAGCTTCCTTCGAGAATCCATGGAGTGTTACGAGTCTGACATGTATCCAACAAAAAACTGAGTCCATAAAAATCTAAAATTAAGTGATTGTCAATCAATGCCCAAGCAAGAAGTGATTCTTCACAAAGTGATTGTTCAAAAATGTCTAAGCAAAAGCGATTCTTCACAAGTATAAACAGTAACTCATGATAGCCAGTATGGACATGCAAAACCACAACCAGTTTAACCATACAAAAAAACCAAATACTAGGAAACGACCCTGTACATTAACCTTCGATTACATGGCCTCAGCATAATATTCTAACCAGTAATCACAATAGTCATCATAATCATAATTAGGTCCCCAACCAAAATCACTTGAATGATCCAAAATTTCATACTTAAAGTTCTTGATATGGGAAGCTTTTTTCAGTATCTCATTATCAATCTTAAGTTGGCTACATTCTCTCACTGCAAGGAAATCCAGCTCTTTGCAGCCTCCCAATATCTTTAGCAAGTTTTTCTTTGATAGAGTAAAACCCATGTCCATTATCCCAAAAAAGGTAGTCCCTCTCACATCCAAGGTCCTGAGCTTAGGGAGCCAGGTAACAATTGCAGAAACTGCTTCGTCATCAATAATACCAGCATTTACACTAATGCCAATGAAATTCTTACAGTGTCGGCCTATTTCCTCAACGATTTTGGACAATGGGAAACCTAGTTGTATATAGTCCAGATGAAGATGTTCTAAGTTCCTCCATTTATGAACAAGGCTTGGGATGCTGTCAGCTATATCCTTGAGTATACATGCAGCAGGAAGAGAAAGGAATTTCAAAGCCGGGCACCTGTAAGCAGTTTGAGTACAGTCAAACAAGATTACATAAGTGTAAATTTCTACAAGGTGACTTGTTACAACATAAACTGTAGCATATTTACTAGAAGGTATGTCATAGCAAATGCAGCCACCAATACCAGGTATTATTATACAGATGAAGCTCCGTTGCAAGGCTAGAGGTCATACTATACTTACTTATCTGAGATGTAAACCAGCTCCTCGTATGCAAATTCATCAGGAAGTATTACTTTAACAGAAGATCCATGGCCAAGTTTTACTAAGAGCTTCACAAGACCCATAGATGAGAACCATTTAATTCTATAAGTTGAGACAAATCTGTTGGTGAAGAGTATACCCATTGACTGAAGATGTTGAATATCTAAAACTTTCCAACAGTAAGGTTGCAGAGAAGCTCGATACCAGGATTTGCAGACAAAGGGCAAGGACAGAAGTAGATCATCCATGCCCACTTTCTCAAAAATGCTGACCAAGCAATCCATGTCTAGTAGCTCCCACTTGCTTTTGTTCTCCATGCTCCACTCCCTCTATTTAATAAATCTTAGTGTTAGAGGAGAAATGCAAGTGTTGTGGTGTGAAAACTCAACTTACACGAAAAAAATGCAATTACCAGGGCAAATATTATATCTGAACAACATGGCCATCAAAGGAATGAGTGGAATGCCTCATTCAAAAGATGAATCAGGAATACATGATAGTAACTAAATACTGAATAAATAAATTCCTTATTAACTGATAGTGTAGTCTATCAGAGGTATCATCAGAAAAAGAAATGGAATTCATCCTAATATGCTCTGGCTTGATGGTTTCTCTAGAAGACTAAAGCAACGAATGAAAAATGTAGATAGCCAGGTCACATGGAACTTATGATCAAATAAATGCCCATTTTAGTTTAAGAGCAGAGCAGTGGAAGAGGAGCATATGATCAGCCAGGCAATTAACCTGGTTAGCAGGAATACAACTTGCCTATTTCAAATTTGGTTAGTAGGAAAAAAAATCCATTTTTTTCAAATCAAATTTATAAATATGCTTCTGCAGAAATGTGAGCATTGCAATACAACACGCTGCACCCACAGTCTTTGACATCAAAGATGAGATCTCTTCTTACATTGAAGGACACAACTACACCCATTGTTTAATGTAACAAGACCAATTATATTATTGGCAACCCAAACAACTAATGGTGTCGTCAAGGCTCCCTTAACACGTATAAGCTACTGTCTCCTCTAACAGGTATAAGCTCCTAGCAGAAGTTAATGCAACATCCCAGACCATTACTCTTAATTCTTAAGGGGCCTTACCAGGAAGCATTTTTGGTGGATTTCTGATGCAGCATGATGTATACTCATAGACATATTCAATTCCAGCAAGAATTGAATTTGGCATCAATTCACGGTCAGGATGCATTCCCCTGTACTATGGGGCTATAAAATTCTGATTTGGGCTGATTAGTCATTCTCCCTAAGAAAACACAGTAAACGTAGGAAAAAGGGGTGGATTTTCTACACTGGGGGAGAGGAAAATTAATGGGGCTAGAAGAAGAAGAAGAGCAGAAAATAGAAAACAAAAATAAAAAGAAAATAACAAGATACCTGACCGGACTAAGATCGTCGATCGCTTCTTCCTGTCCCAATTCCAAAACCCTCTCCTTGCGAATTGCGATGTTTCTGTACGACGATGAATGAAAACCAACGACTGCATAACTATATATACCCGGCAAAAACCTTGTCCTTTTCAGTTTCTAAAACCTCCCCTTACGAAATTACGGAACTACCCAGGCAAATCGAGAAGGCCAGGGCCCATTCGTTTCCTATTGCATGGGAAGGAATCAAATTTCCAAGGCAACAATGTTAAAGGTTTGGCTGAACGCGATTGCTCTTCGGCTGGCTGTAGAACCAATAATAAAGTTCCCAGTAATAAAATACTTGGCCCGACGTATATCCTCATCATTGGTTCCACAGCCATCGCGTTCCGCTCATCCGAATTCTTTTTGAATGTAATAGTACAGAAAGTTAGAAACTAGAAATAGTATTCTTGCTTGCGCTGCACTCGTGGGGTGCACTTCCATTAAGTCGTTGACAAATTTTTTACACGTGTGTAAATATTCATGTGTATGAAATTACACGTGTTTTAAAATACCTGTTTTCTGCTGTATTTGTTTGTGCCTGCACTTGTACACTTCCTTTTATAAATCATAATGCAAACACAAATACCACCCCACCTTGGCCTTAGGTCACCAAAGTTTGGGTTTCCTAAAGCTTGCCTTAAACTTAATCACAGTCAAAAAATTTTCCTAATTGAGACGAGGCAAATTGAAGCCCCATTAGGGGTGGGTTAAATTGCCATCTTTATTTGGGTTTTATATGCATTATAGAAAAAATATAATTGAAAAGATGAAAGTTTGGTTGGTAACAGGTTAAATCCCTATAAGTTGGGTGGGGTTTAGAAGAAACTATATATCATTAAGTTGGGTTCGCGTAGAAAGATTGTAGGTCAGGTTAGGGTGAAGGAAAACATGCCACTCAAAAAAGCAACCGTTGGTTAAATAAGAAATTTAATATGCATGTAACCATGTTTTGCTATAAAAATATCTATTACCTAATTGGTTACTGTTGCAGCAAGAACCGTCCATCTCCTTGTTGGAGGACTGCTTGAACGGATGGGTTGATGAGGCCAGTCCACCCAACTACAAGATAAGAATGATCAGAGTACTTGGGGTGTTGAATCTAGGTTGAGCACTCCAATGCTTAAGTCAGCGATAAGAAAATTGAGAGCAAGAAGTAGATGTTTTGCACAGAATGATCAGAGTACCTTGTGAATTAGTGCTGAAGCCCTTTTATAGGTGTAGGAGTCTGTGTTTCATGTCTGAGATACTCAGGAATGGCCGGCCTTATCGGTCCATTATCTTCAAAGCATGTCCTTTCCATGTTGGCAATGATCCATATCCGAACTCCCTGAATCGTTGGAGAACTGGAAATATGCATGCGGGTGGACGACGTGCCGCTGCCCGAATCAGAACCGATAGGCATGCTATTCTGGGTAAGGACATTCTGCCACATAGGTCGGAGGGTTGGTACCCCAGAAGTTCTTCTTGCTACTCTAATCTTCATCTGCCCAGGTCGGGGAGGTCACGCCAGCCTCTCAGGTCGTTAGCTTGTGTTTTCAAGGTGGTGTTGTGTTTTTACCAATCTACCTCATTGATGAAAACCCACATGATTGGTTATTAGTTTTGTGATGTCGATTGATTGGTTATAAGTTTTTTTACGACATCATAGTTAAACCCTTCCTACAAGAAAAGTCTACGATGATAGAAAAGCAAGATACTGAAAAGACTTTGACCAATCAAAATCCTTTGAATTTTGATTGTAATATCGATTGATTGGTTACAACATTCCCTTCTCTTCTATTCTTTCCTTAAAACACAACACAATTAAGATCAATGCTAAGCCAGATCATCATTTCTGTCCAGTCCCTGACATCTAAACTATTCAGATATGGTTTGAGATTCACATGCAACGCAACAATAGATGGGATTTCTGAATGGTATACATCAAGGTTCAACTTATTGATATGTTACATTGGATATAAAGTGTACTGTGTTGAAATCCAAGGGGATGGGCTTCAAAAAAATCCAAGGGTACCAACGTATGGCATGTGTCATGTGTGGAATATATAATATAAACACCGCTCTTTTCATGCCTATATGTATTCTCTATGTCGTTTGGTATCCATCATCAATACTTATCAGTTGAAGGATCTTGCTTCCGTTACTTCCGGGTCGATCAGATCTTTCAAAGCTAATGGCAAAGCCACTTTCACTTTGAAGAGGCGTAGCAATTGAATCATTTTGGTGTCTTTTCAAGAGGGGGCTAATTGATCAATCTGCGTGTAGGCGGCCAAGATAACCAAAGAGGGATTGGCGTTCTGATTTTCCAATGCTTTTTTGCAATGCGCCTTCCAGAAATTCCAGAGCAGAACTGCACACTTATTGAAAATACTCAAATCATCCTCTAGGTCTAGGGGTTCAACCATTTTGTTCCACCAAAAAGCCAGCCAATAATCTTCAATTTGCCAGTTGGAGTGCATATCAATATGGATAGATAGGTTAAATCCAAACCAGATTGAACGACTGATAAGGCATCGAAGAAAGAGATGGTCCATCGTTTCTTCACTCTGGTTGCAAAGCACATAAGGCTTAGTTTGGAAGGAGTACAAGCACAAATATGTACAGTATAAATACATATAAAATAATACAAAATACATAATTTTACACTCTACATATTTATATTTGCATTCCTTTCGAACTGAACCTAAAGGTTGTCAATTTTATGTCAATATCTAGCTAGTTTTGCTTTCACAAGGCATCTCCAAATAAAGAATTTCACCATTAGAGAGTAAGTTCCTATAGGTTCCAAACCTGTCTCCAAGTTATGTTGGCGAAAGTGATATGTTGATGGGAAGAAGAAGCTGAATCACCTGTTAGGAGTTTGTACTCCAGAGGAGCAAGTAAAGTTTCCATGAGGAGTTAGGGTCCAACATAATTTGTCTTGGCCTGAATTAATCTGTGAAGGTAATTCAATAGATAAGATACGCCTCACCGTCGTCTCATCAAACAAGGAGTGGATAAGATCTGCAGTCCAACTGCTATTAGAATGGTTTATTAGAGATGCAACCCTCAAATTTGACTGATTCGGATCTTGGTTGATGATAAGATTTGTCATTCAAGGGTCTGCATAGATATTAACCTTCCCAGCCATCAGCAATGAGCCATCTCGTATCCTTAAGCAGTTCAATCTCTGACTTCCAACATGCTATGCCAGATGATAGAGTCTGAATTTCTCCTATTAATATTCCAAAAATAATTTTGGTTCCCAGAGTCTGTTATGTTCTTTGAGGAATCTCCAAGACAATTTCATGATAACCACTTTATTTTTAGTGGAGACATCTTGAATTCCTAATGCACCCAAATCTTTGTTATGCAAGATTTGGGTAAATGTGAGCTTTGCCCTGTTTGTATCCCCACTAGAAATCTTTGGCTATTGTATTGATTTTTGTGCATGTTGCTTGTGGGATGAGTTGGGTAGCCATGAAGTAAGAGGGAATGGTTTGTAAGAGTGAATTTAATAAGAACTTCTCTTCCAACATGTAATAGGCAATTGGCTTTCCAGGTTTGAAGTTTATTTTTGCATTTATCCACAATAAAATTTCAGTTTGATCTGGACTTACCATGCTTCTTTTCCATTTATAAAGTTCAGTGCACCCAAATAAAGTTCTTTTCCATTTATAAGTTCAACTCCCAAAATATTAGCCAACTTTACTCTTTCTCTCCAAAAGGTATTACTACTCAAGTAAATAGCAAATTTTGAAAAATTTCTTCCCTTGCGACCTGAACATCTACCAAAATGTAATAAAGAATTCTTAACTGTTAGAGTTTCCTGTTCTAAACTCTTACCGAAAATTAAGATGTCGTCTACAAACATTATATAATTAATTTTCGGGCAGTTTCGAGCTAGCTTGATTCCATGGAAAGAATTAGTAATCTCGACAACAGGTCCGTGTAGAGGATAAATAAATATGGAGAGAGGGGGCAATCTGCCAAGTTTGGACAGGGGTCCAATCGTCTTCAACAGTCCAAAGTGGAGGCTATTTTCTATCACAACTAGAATTGTTAATAATAAAGAGAGATTAAGAGAGAGTGTTATGCTGAGAGGGAGCACTCCTCAATATTTTGGGTTCTATTTATATACCCTTTTATGACTGTTGGGTTTGTTTCAATGGATAGGAACTACCCACAAATCTCTTTAAATAGTTGGGATTAGCCTCCATTGGGATGAGACACTTATCCCTGGTTGTTGAGACATTTTCTCAACCAACAACTACTCTAGTGGACCAAGTTTAAAAAAGATAAGTCAAAACAAATTTTATTTTATAAGAAAATAATAAATAATATTAGTAATTGAAAAAAGGTGTTGATTGTGTGTGCATGCTGGTCCACATAGAGCAAATACTACATCGATCGTGTGGTTATTCCCGTTGGCCTACGGATAGTCCTACACGTTGAGGATGATATATATTGAGGGCCATAGGCCACTCGGTCCAACATCTCCCACTTGGGTATATAGGCCCGAGGTGTACTAGCTGCCTAGTAGTTCTGTTGACCTCACGTGCCATTTAAAATTGCCCATCAATCAAATTGGGCTTGGTCAATAGTTTGGCAACTATTTCACATGCTGGCACGTATGCAATTCATATTTTTTTTACGTATTCAAGAACATAATGATGTTGTAATAGCATATGCTTTTCAATTAGCCCAATCTCTTATCTTTGATGATCTGAATTGTAGCCTGATCAACATTTTTGTTCATGACTAGTCTTGTAGGTGTACCTTCCACCTTGACATTTGCGATAAACTCCATTTTCATTGTGTGTTTTGTTACACACTTTCTTTCTAGGAGACCGTTCCTCTTCGCAAGAGGAAAATATAATTAGTAGTAGGTTGTCTCCTACAAAAAAAAAAAAAAAACTAGCATCACAATATTTTATCAATTTCAAATCATTGCATTGCTAGGTTAATTTGTAATATATATATATATATATATATATTACTCCTTGGATAATTCTTAGTGTCCCTCTAATCACCTTCCAATGCAATTTCCAAGGTTATTTTAATATTAACTAGCAATACCTTTTGCATA